TAACCTGCTGGTCCGATGGTGGCGAGCGGCGAGGCCAGGAGGAGCGGCGGCAGTGTTGGTCGAAAGGTGGGGTGAAAAAGATATGGGTGAATCAGCTCAAAATGAGTTAGTTTTTTTACTGAGGGAGTAGATAGTGGAGTAGTGCTGGCGTGGGCTTAACAGGTCATGCCATAATAATGCGCAAGCCACATGAAAAAAAATCACGAAACATCTACGACGTGAAAAAAAATACAACACCAGCAATAAGCCCATAATGATGGTGTACCAAATACGCCAATGCCGACACTGTTTGGAAAAAATAGTGCTGGATTGGTTGAAATTGGCGCGCCACCAGCTAAAAGTTATGGCTCCTATCAATAGACTGTGACGCCACCCATGTGGGGGTAAAACCATTTATTGTCGCTTGTTTTGATCACGTACACACTGTTGTAAACAACGATCGATGCTCTCATCATTGTAGTGTAGACCACAAATGGTGCCAATGTGTACACTGGTAATTGTAGTGTAGACCACAAATGGTGCTAATGTGTACACTGGTAGATAGCCTACAATTGAGATGAACTTTTACTTTTAAAAATCATTTCATTTCTACACGGCCACAGCGACAATAATAAGACAGACACTCTCACCCTAATAAGCATACTAAACTTGCATGGAATACCATCTAGCAAGTGATCATACATATTAAAGTGTGTGTCAGGTACATGAGTCTACCATGAAACCCACTCTGCATCAAGTTTCAGTGGAATTTGTCTCGAACTTACGTCAGTTAAATGGAATCTATGTGGCCAAGAAGGTCCTACTTGACACAAGTTGGGGACCGAACAAATCTCGCCTGAAAGATACACTAGGTGGGGAGGTGCTTGAAACTTGTGCAAGTGTATCATTCTTATCGCGAACTATGAGATACAAGGTTGTATATTGTCTTTGGATACAAGTGTTTCCCAATAAGCAAATCTATGAGCCTCTCCAATTGCGAAGGATCCAAAGTGGAATAGGTGTTTCTTTGTGGCCATTAGACCTGTATAAAAATGTGAGTCCACAAGTTTCCAGTATGCGTGGGACACGTCTTTTGGGCCTAGATACTTATTGTGCAAGATATTTTCAAACGCCTTCCTCGGCTAGAAGTTTATATAGACATTTACCAATTAGGGCATTGGTTTTTACCTGGATATGATGTATGCCAAGACCCCTTAATACTTAGGGTGGCAAAACACGTTCCATTTAGCTAGCCTATACTTGTTCTTTTCGATGTCACTTTGAGAGAAAATTTTGGACCTAAAGTAATCCAACCTCTGTAGAACACCCTTTGGTAGTTGGAAAATGATAACATATTTGCGAGTACTGAGTTGATCAAAAAAGCCCCCCCCCCAAGCAACTTGCCTTTCCAACTACTTAGGCATTTCTTTAATCGATCCTCGACATATTTTCCACTACGCACTTGAAAGTGCCAATAATGGGTTCGAAATTCCTAAGTACTTAATTGGTAAGTAACATTGCTCGCAACCCAACAACTCTGGCATATTATGCAGGTGCCTTTTTAGCTTCTCCAAAACAGAACAATTCTCTTTTCTGAAAGTTAATTTTGAGACCCACATCTGCTCAAATGCTGAGAGCAAGGATTTAATGTTTTTTTCCTTTTCCATGTCATATTCCATAAAGAGAATTGTATCCTTGCATATGGCAGAATTGAGAGCCCCTCCTGATGCAACTTCATCGTCTTGTTTAGCACACTCAATCAGTATGGCCAACATATCAACATCAATGTTAAATACTATTAGAGAAAGTGGATCATCCTAATACTCCTTTTTTCGTTTGGAAGTAATGCCCAACATATCCATTCCCTTTTGTGACCACACTATCACTAGGAAATTAATCAACCCACACAACCCATTTCTCATAGAAGCCCTTCGTTCTAATGTTTGCTAAATAAAAGGCCATTTGACTTTGTCGTAAGACTTTCCAAAGTAAGTTTTCAATACAACTATTCCATTTTGCAGAATCACATGTGTGTCAATTAAGTACTGATAGGAAAGTTAAGAACCTGTCCAACTCCATCTCGCAATGATGCAACTATCTCTTTCCATTGTTGTTATCTATCCAACTCCTCTTTTGATACTAATGTATGGTTGTTGATTTCTATTGGGCAGAAATGGAGGCCATTGCTCGCACTGCTATGTATCCTCAGTACCGCTGCAAAAACATATACCTGGTACTACACCTCCTCAGTTTTAGGCAACCAACTTGTATGAAACATGTAAAGAATGTCCCATATGATTAACTATAGCAAACGTGTGCAGGTGAGGCATGCTCAAGGTATTCATAATGTGGAAGGCGAAAAGGATCATAGTGCCTACATGTCGCCTGCGCTGCTTGATGCTCACATTACCCCTTTGGGTTGGAGCCAAGTAAAATCCCTTGTTACTTTTCTGTTAGTTAATTACCATGTGTTGTCAGATCTAATAACAAAGGTACACATTATGTTGTGGACAACCAAGGTGGTGCTTTTGTCAAATATTTAAGGCAACAATGCCATAGTGATGTTGACAAGAGCATTACAACTAGAAGCACAAATGCTTTTGTCGTTATCTTTCACCGCCATAGGATTGGATGGTAGCTTGTATGTCACTATCATGTGTTCTGCTCGGGGTATCAAGCCATCAATGGTACAATATTATCCAACATTAAGATTGTTAATATAAAATGTGTAAAATTAGCATCAAATCATGATGCTCTAGTGGTAGAAGACATTTGTTCTGCAATTTAAGTGTTGGGTTCAAGATTCATTCACTTCACGTACTAATAGGTCGTCAGTTATAATGTTCAACCTTTATTTAGATTGTGACATCTCCAGTCAAATGCAAATGGTGGCAGCTATTAGTAGTGTTATTGCAATATTCAATGTCTTTGTTCTTTCAAGCTTCTATTGCTGACATCCTGGAGAATACTATTTCTTTACTAATGTAATCTTCATGCAAAATCATATGTTGATGTGGCCAGTTGGTAGTTCACATGGTTCTTATTGCCGCCTTAAAAGAAATGAAGTACCATGTGTTAGCATGAACCCTAGACGAACGATATGTTCTATTTCTAAATATTATGTCATCAGGCAAGCACACATCCTCCTCACGCAACATATGCATGGGAATAGGTCCACCTCAACATGCACCCATGCATAGGAAAAAACCACTTTGACATGCAAATGTGCATCCAAATTTATATTATGCTATTTACTGGAAATAAATATTTTACAAAAATAAAATAATCAAACACAATAAGTTATATGTATTTTCAGTTTATCTTCTATACGCAAATAGCTTGCCCCCACTAACCCATTTATCTCAACATGTGAGCATGCCACCTTATCATGCAACATGCATGGAAATAGGATCACCTCGACATGTACTCATGCATAGGACAAAGTCCACTTCAACATGCAAATATGCATGAGAATTTCCACTGTATCATGCTATTTATATTTAATAAATATTTTACAACTATAAAATAACTAAACACAGTAAGTTATATGTATTTTATTTTGTAGTTCTCATATTTTTACTCCAAATATTTATTTCCCACACAATCAAATCTCATTGAATTATATTGAAAAACATTTTCGCAGAAAGGTGTGAGATAGCATCAAGTTAGTCATAATCCTAGTTGCATCAAAACGCAAAGACACCGTCTTTTTGGATGACACCATCATAATCCTACTTTATTGATTCATTTGTGGTCGTGAGCTCATTTGAAATGTTCATTTTGATGTCTTTATACACATAAAGTTGATTGAAGTATCAATTTTTTTCATTTAGCATTCCCAATTGCATGTATGTTAATTTGCATGCATTTGTAGGTTGATAGCCTGCGAGAACATGTGACAAAATGTGGACTAGACAAAAAGATTGAGCTGGTTATTGTTTCCCCTCTATTGAGGTATAGTTTTCCTTGACCTTTTGATCTTCTTTTACATAATTTCATTATTTTGCATCCTGTTCTAAACTTTGTAGTTGGGGTTTTGTACACTAATGAATATCATTGTTGTGTGTACGTAATCCTTGCTACATGTCTTACATGACCCATGTGCGCATAATCTAGTAAAAATAAAATTTAGTTCGAGCTCTTCTTTTACATACTTAATCATGCTTGTCTAGTATACATTATTACGAGAACTCCTATGCTGAGGTATGATATAATATGATGGTGCATTACAGTAATATGTTTTTTCTCAATGAGCCTCACAATATTTCATTGAACTAATCTCACAGGACTATGCAAACTGCAGTGGGGGTCTTTGGTCATGGGAGCAATACTGATGAAGCAAGTGCATCACCATTATTAATGGTAGAAGGTGCTGGACACAGTGGACATAAGGCTATTTCAAGTTTGAACTGCCCACCATTTCTTGCAGTTGAGGCCTGCAGGGAGCGCTTGGTATTTCTCTCTCATGAATAAATACAATTAGAACATGAGTAGTCATTTTTTACATATCTATATAGTGTTGTCAACATTGAGTGCCTTATTTAATTACATTAACATCCCTTAAATATTAACTAGAATAGGTTATTTCTGCAGTTGCTAGAATAACTTATTCAGCTTAGTTCGTTCTCTTCTAAGTTAACTACCGTCATTTTAGGAATTGGACACCTCTATTTGTCTTTTCTTCTCCCACATCAGTAATGCTCTGTCAACAAATATTCTGATATTTCATTTTAAATTTGATTAAAAATGCAGGGTGTTCATCCCTGTGACCGGAGGAGCAGCATTACAAAATATCGTGCTCTCTTTCCTGCCATTGATTTTTCCTTGGCAAGTACCTAATATTGCTAGTTCACAAGACGAGTTCATGTGACGGTGTTTTGATGGTGTTTTAATATATGTGTTCTTGTGTTCTTTACAGATAGAGAACAATGAAGATGTTCTTTGGGAACCAGAAGTCAGAGAAACAATTGAATCTGTTGCTGCTAGGGGCATGAAGTTTATTGACTGGTAATTTTCCTTTTTATGACTGATTAGTTTCTTTTCTTTAGTTCCTTGAAAACAAAATTATATTGATCTTCATATGAAAATGAAACCCAAGTACCTCAATAGTACTCATGTACACGTCCTATATCACTTTAGGTTATTTTCCTGTGTCCTTTAAAACAATTTGTTCCCGTGTTTTCGATGAATAAGGCTATTTGCCTTAACACATGCATGGACATATTATGTTACTTTGTGTGTGTCGACACAAAACCTTGTTACATGTTTGAGAGAAAACCTAGAACTAATGGCATAGGTTTGTGCACTGCCTTGGATAATACCCTCCGCTCCACACAATGCTTCCTCTGATTTCTTGTTTCTCATATACTAGCGAGTTATCACTAAGTGACTATTTGACACTAGAAAGTCCTAGTGCCAGAGATTCATGGGTAGCATGCATTGAGAAAGACAAACCTTAGATGACACATTGACTCTACATGTAAATTTATTTTGGTAACCTTATTAAAAATGATCACTGGATGTGATCGCAGGTTATGGACAAGAGAAGAAAAAGACATAGCTATTGTCACCCACAGTAGTTTTTTGGATTTCACTTTAAACATGTATGGTAAAGAGTGCCATCCAGCCATAGCAGAGGAACAGAGGAAGCGGTAAGTATTTGTTTCCTTGGTAGTTGTCATATAATCAACCCACCATATCTGCAATCTTGTGTTGTTGTGGAGCACAATATTTTCATTATATACCTACAACAACTTTAAACCCCACAAGTAAAAGCAAATTGGACTATTTTTTCAATATGTACATGGAAAGAAGTATTGTATTCTTCGGCTTAGCATAACATGACTAGATAGAGCTAGTTCTTCAGAGAACTTTTGTCTTGCAATATCAGTATCAATATTATTGTGCTAGATCCTAAAATGTTCAGGCCATGGTTGATTGTATCATCACAAGTGCATGTCGCTCACTTTTCCTTTTGAGAGGGGGGTGGGTGCATGTTGCTAACTTTGCCCTGGTTATATACAGCTTTGCCAATTGTGAACTTCGCTCAATGGTGTTGGTTGATGTAAGGTTAGCTCTTGTTTTGCTTCAGTGATTATAGTGCAGATGATGGATATTTTATAGCGTGGATTTGCTTTTCAATGTTGCAGTAAGCTTGGATCAGGAACCCATACTTGTAATTTCTCTGGGAAGATACCATTCGGACTTGATCTTCCTAGTGATGTTGTGGACAAGAAGTGAGCTAGAGCACCAGCCTGCATTCGAGGCGGTCTCCTCAAGGTGCCTCATTTCTACCTAAAACCATACATATAAGGGATCTAACTTCCCCCTTAACCATGTTTTTTAAAAAGCTACAAAATAACTAAGACTATTGACCGCATGATTATCTTTGATTCTTCAATCAAACCCCACTTCTGGCAGGCAAATAAGTTTGAACTGAATGACTGAAATTGATGCCAAGATAAGGGAAATCTATGGATAGGATTTGACATCTGTGACTCTGGAGTGTGATTGGCACAATTCCTATGTTTGTTATCCCATTTGTTGTCTGGATACATACCCAAATTATGCATGAAACCTTCTTTTTTATCAAGGACATTATGTTGATACATTTTTACTCGTATTCTTTCTCACATTTACTTTGCAGCTTTTATCTTTTTAGGTTCATGATACTTTGATTATATGATGCACTAAGATCACGGTGCACATAGTGGTCATCATAATGTGGATCTTGGGTTTATTGTTTTTGTTTTAAAAAGACAAGCACCGTGAACAAGGATTTGCGCTATATGTTATTATATTATTGTTATTGAATTTAAAATGTCTTTCATGCATAATTATGACCAACTAACATGCTTGTATAAAATTGTAAATAATAGTAGTATAGGAAAAGGACATGATGAATAAAATACTTGACCAAATAAAATACTCCCTCTGATCCATGTTACTTGTCACTCAAACAGATGTATCTAGCACTGAAATAGATCTAGATGCATCCGCTTGAGCAACAAGTAATATGGATCGGAAGGAGTAGCAGCTTGTATGTGAATAATCCACAATAGAAAGTTTGATTGTATCATCATATGGTGCCCTCTATTGCTTAATAATTGGACTCCTAGTTTTTGTTTCCTGACAAATTTGCCCGTCCTACCTAATATTATACGATTACTTCACTCATATATTAGCTTCAATATACTTTAAATATAGGAAATATTGTAGAAAAATGACCATGTGTTGATGATTTGATTGTATTTTGCTAATGAATTTGATGTATTATTGCTGGTAAAGATCTCAAACATGTCTAGATTCACCATTAAAATCATAGAAGTCATCATGTATCTAGGTTTTCCTCATTAAATCGTTCTTATACTCAATGTATATTCTCCCCCCAATATTTATAGCATTTTCTTAATAACTATAAATGTAGATGACTCTTATAATTCTTGTGTTTTCTTCTTCCATATGTCACATCATTGAAGGCATGCGGTTTTATTATTCAGTTGTTTTACTAGTTATGAAAACATTTAAAACATAATACCCGAATACATCTAGAATTAAGCACATTCTTTAGATGGTGTGCTCATTATATCATTCAAATTTTATCTATTCACATGGCTAATTCTCCCTCAACAATGTCCTGATTTAGTCCTTCATAATTGAAAGGTATTTAGCCACCAGGAAAGGAACCCTTCAGTATGACACTTACCTTAAATGTCTTGGACTACTTTCAATCAAGACTTAAATCCAACTATCATTGGCCATCAATGGAAACCAATTCATTAATGCTTTCACTCGTCTCCATTTTATTTCTATGAAAATGTTTTGTTATACTCCCCCTTTCCGGTTTATAGGGCTTAAGTCTGAAATCTCATCAACCAACGTAAAGGATGAGTAGACGAATATATCTCATAGTTACTCAAAGTTTAATCTGCATTAACTACAGTGTATGCATGGATGTCCACTAAATGAGTAGGAATGGTTACATGCATTGGTCACTTTTCTTTTAATTCTTGCATGCATCAATTTTATGTGCCTTGGAATGTGAACATGTGGTGGAAAGAAGTGAAAATAAGACTTATAAAATGGAAAAAACAAGAAAATGAGATGAGTCCAATAAAACGGAAGGGAGGGATTTTATACTATTAAAACCTAGTCGTGTAGGAAATAATTACCATTTCATTTTTTCCATAATGAGAAGCAACCCATGCTTGTCCATACCTATCTTTCTAAATATTAGATTTTACCTATTTTATATCATATTTCTAATTTATTCATTTATTGCACAATTTAGTTATAATTTAATTTTATTTTGTAAATCCAAGTGCTAGTTTACATACAAGACATGTTACGAACAATTTTAACAGATTGACGCTAATTTTCATTAAACTATGGTTTCACTAGTTTTTCTTTTGGAAGTGAAGAACAGTTTGTAACAATATTGGAATGGCCTTTAAAGTGACCAAAGCGCAAGTGAAGCTAGAAGATTATATATAAAGGCACACAAGAAGAAGTGGATTTGGAGATTACCTGAAGTCAATAGTGGATTGATCCATATTATTTGCTTTTTAGAAGATCCATATAAACATGTATATGTGCTTTGATTGGTTGGCATGCATGACTATGTGTTAGCAATGGCCTATGTGCCTCACTACAAGAAATATGTCAACTTGTGACCTTGACTATTGGTCACTGAAAGGTCATTGTTTTTCATTTGCGACATTTTTGTGAACAAAAACAAAAGGTCAAAAGCTGGCGGTCGTAAACTGAAATTAAGGACCTTTTCTGTGAGAAGTCGTAGACGTTTACCACCAAAACAGAAGGTCGTGGAACCCATGACCTTTTGTTTTGGCTACTAGTTGTCTGCCCAGGCCACGTCGGATCCGACGTGGCAATCTGACGTGGCAAAATTGCGACCAATTGAATTGATCGTTGGTAAGATTCAGCCCGGTCCAATTCGGTGTTCTACATGGTCCAAGTCCATTAATTCAACCTTTTATGATATTTTTTTTGCTTGATGTTTTGGGCCTTTTCTATAATGGGCCTTTACCTTTCCGCATAGTTTGTTTCCTTTTTGTTTCTATTTTCTATTTGAGTCGAGGCCTGCTTATAATAATTCTAAATAGCTTCTCAGCGCAGGTTATTTTGGGCCATGCCATCTTAATAGTACAAGTATATTTGGGCCGTGGCCACTATCAGGTCCAGTAAGAACATTTTTTCTGGAGAATTTAATGTTCAAGTAAAATGTACACAATACATTACAGGGAAATAGCACATACAACAGCAGATACATTTTCATTTCACTCCTACTACAGCTCACTACAACATAGACAGTACATGACACTTCATCCTTCATTTTTTTGCCAGGCACTAGACGAGTACATCTCACTTCAAATAAATAGTATTGTTCTCGGAAGCAAAATACGCCACCACACGCCATGGTGCGCCATCTTACTCGATCTGGCCTCAAGGAACTAGCAGCGTTGCTTGCTCCTTTGGCCCAGAGCTCCTTGCTGTAGAGGATGGCTGAAACTCGGATGCGGAGCTCCCTGCACATGACATATTGTGCCAATGCTTGCAGCAATAGAAAGAAGTCACATACCATAGAACTTGCACAGTAATGTATCAACCACCAAACAGTATGAAGCAAAAACAAACAAGAGGGGGAGGAGTTTATACCTGATCTTCTTGAGCCTCTCCTTAAGCAAAAGCATCATCCAAGGTAATCGTATAAACAAGAACACTCCTTACGATTCTGGAAATGGAGCAACACAATAGTAGTGAAGCTATGCGGGGATCTTTGTGAAGCAGTTTATCGCTTCCTGGAGACACCAACAATCTTTCCTCTCCTGCCCTAGTAGTGATGCAGACCACGATGGTTCCTGGGAAAGAGAACAAGGTTTAAAGCATAAGTGATCGCTCATACATCTATGCACGAAGGGAAAATGCTACTGCAACAGTGAAGTTTTAAGGAATCATCCATCAGGCATCAGCATACATCTATTGGAAACGGAGCATTGATATACAGATCAGCTGGGTTACATACAAGGTACACTAGAAAGGTATAAATGAATACATTGACAATCATCAATACCAGATTGCAAGACATAACAATTACGTACCTAAGCAAGTCGACAATGGCATAGGGCAGGATATAAAATCTGGATACAAGTAATAGACAAACTAGTTCCAACAGATTGACTGAATTGAACTGCTATATAACCAAGTTAGAGCTGGCAGAAGTTGCAGGTGAATAAACATCCATAGAGCTAGCAGTAGCAAAAGATGACTTCGGTCTCTGCTTGACTAATGAATCAGCACATCTTTAAGCGAAAAATCATGAAGATCACACTACGATGTCCCTAACAACAGTAGAAGCTCAGAGGTGTGACAATATTTCGTAATATATAAGCCCTGGCTACAACTTTCCGCTTAACATGCAAATAAAAATCAGCCACTTATTGCTTATTTCATGCTTCAATTTTTATTTTCAGTTATGTTAGGATAATCAGTATGCATAGGTATAGTCCCATACTTGTTTGGGAAGTCAAGATATTCATGTCAACAATTATATAGAGCCAAACAATCATTTAAGCACAGAAGGCACGTCATTTCTATATATAACTAAAGCATATTCAGCAAGCTACCGAAGCCAACAACTATGATTACTTAATAAGGAAAATAGTCATCATAAGCCTATATTTCTTCAGGTTGGGCAGAACATGAACAGAACAATATCTAATAAACTTGATTGCCTTGCAGATGACACACAAGATGAAGAGCACTTGGACAGAAGCTACTATACTTGTGGATGTAATTAACCTAATCTAATGTGATGGGAACAACATCACAATTCACAAGCAAGCACCCATACTCTCAAATTTAGTATACAGTTGCTAACTGAAATAAGTTCAGTTCAAAGCAGAGTAGAGAACAAGAAACACAGCTGCTTCATGGCACTGCTACCGTTTTGCCGCAGGTGAGTTAGGCTTCTTGAACGACACCGGTATAGCAAATATAGAAAGCAGCTAGGGACTAAATCATGAAGCATCTCTACATGTAACATGGTCGGGGTTGATGCGCTCCAGCAAGGTAAGCATCATGGCATCATCGGGTCTGCGAAAAAACCCGACCAAGGTGTGGGTCAGCAAGCATGAATGGAGTGTTATCATTTATCAATGCTAGAGCATTAAGCTAGCAAATGAACCGTTTTACTTTTATATCAAACCAAGGATCATGTTCAA